GAATATTATTTCTGATCATCTGGCAGCATGGTTGATCAGTGGTTAGCACTGATGTCTCACAGCCAGAAGGTCCTTGGTTCAATCCTCAGTTTGGACCCGGGGTCTTTCTGTCTGGAGTTTGCATGTTCTCGTGTGGGTTTCCTCCAGGTGCTCCAGTTTTCCCCACAGACCAAAAACATGTACAACAAATCACTTTCAGGTCTGGGCTTCGCTTGCAAAAGAGATCTGCAAACTCAATGGGATTTGCCTGTTTAAATAACAGTAAAACAATAAATAAACACATCTCATAATCAGATATTGCTTTGAAAGCTACTCGTGCAGAGGGAGAAATATAAGATGATGGCATTATAGCTTGAAGCACAGTGGAATATGTGTTCTTTATTCATAAGGATTAGATAATTTGCTTTTTTGATATTGTTGAAAAGGATGTGTTGTAAAGAATAATGCTGGAGATGTGCACTTATGTTGAAATAAATCTACATCATTAAGCAACACCACTTTCACTGAATTGCAAATATTTTTGTAGTTGAGTCTGTTGAGTCTCTCTGACAGAAACGTTTGTGTGTCTGTTGGTTGTCGACTAATGGTCCAGTGTTTATCTGCATAAAAAAAATTACCAGACGGTACCCCATTAAACAACATCCTTTCCAGGTTTTTTTTTTTTTTTACAAAAAAATCTCCCAGTTACATCCTCAGAATTCAAGTTTAAATTAAAAAAAATCTGGCTTAGACTATATACTGTATAACACCTAACCATTATTGCCAGATATTTGACTTCAGATTTATTTTTATTGGAGTCAAAATATTAAAAACTGATTGCCATGTACAGCTGGTTTACATAAAAATTGTCAAAAGGTGTAAAAATAGATTTTGAAAATTTAGTTACACACTTTCCTCCACAATTCAGTCAGTATTTTTCAAACTGGCACCAAACTTCCCAAAATGGTAAAAACTGGTAAAAAGTTTACCAAATTTCCCTCTGGGATCAATAAAGTATTTTTGAATTGAATTTGAATTGAATTGAACTGCACCAAAAGTATCTGTGCTGCTTATTTCCTGCAGGTAGATGGCAACGCAGAGCACCAAACAGCTTTAAAGGTTAAATGAAAAGTGTTTGGAGCAGGAGAGGCTGGTCCATTGGGGGAGGTCAGGCAAATTCATTCGCCCCATAAAGTAGTTCCTCCTAATAAATACAGAAAATTACTTATGAACATAGTTTGGTGTATTCTAAATAAAGTTGAGTACTGTAGGTTTGCTGGACGTGTTGTTCTTTGATGAATAAACATTTCATCTCTTCTCCAAAAGACTTCTTTAGTCTGAGGAGTTACAGGTAAACTCATTCTTATAAATAGTACTTCCAGTAGTAGTACTTACAGTACTTCTACTTATAAACCYGAGTTTTCCTGTAACTCCTCAGACCAGAGGTCAGCAACCTTTACAATCCGAGGAGCCACTTCTGCTCCTTGACTAAGTAGTAAAGTGTTTCCGGAGCCACAATCAACTGGTGGTCCGTGGGCCACTACGAGTTTGTTGTATGGGGGCATTTCTGGCCAGTGGGGGTGACATAAAACTAAAAATATAGAGAGAATTTGAATGTTTGTTATTATTTTTACCCTCCAGGGCAAAAAAATTAATAAAAAAGACAATATTTATATTTTTT